CGCAGTCCCCCTCCACCGGGTTTTCCTGCACCGTCACGGCCTGTTTTCCCAGAGGCCACCAGATGGCGCCTGTGAGCACCTGAGTCAGGTTTGACCCTCGGAACCCACAGCCCATCCTCCCGGCAGCAGCCACCACCAGAGGGCGGAATGGCCCATGTCCTCAGGATAATAGCCCATGTCCTCCCGCTCCTAGGGGACCCTGCCCGACTTGCCCTGCCATCTCCTTGCCCTCACTTTCTCTCTCTCACCCCCTCACTCATTCCGTTCCAGCCACATGGGCCTTCTTGCTGTTCCTCCAATATGCCAGGCACCACTTCAGCCTCAGGGACTTTGACATTCTGTGCTAAGACCTCTGCTTAGCCTGCCCTTTCTCCAGACCTCCCCCTGGCTCCCTCCTCACCTCCTTCAGGTCTCTTCTCCAACGCCACTTTTTCAGCGAGGCTTCCCCTGACCACCCATTTCAAACTGCAAACTCCCTGCACCTCCAATTCCTCCTTGCCCTTGATCTTTTGTCGTGGCACTACTTGCCTTCTAAAGTAACGTGAAACTCACTTATTTGCCTCTCTCGACAAATAGGTGAGGAAGGGAGTTTATGTGTTTTGTTCATACCTGTTTCCCCAGCACCTCCCAGTGCCTGGGCACAGTGGGAAAACAGATAAATGCTGGCTGAATTAGTAACTAGGATAAGGCTATAATTCAGGAGCATCGACTGTATTGATCCTTCAGAATCCTGAGGCCCAGGGACGTGATGTTCTTCACCTGGAGCCTCACATTTTCACTCCCAATCCAGGTTCCTTTTTTTTCCACCCCCGATTTGTTCTCTTCTCTGTCAGTGAGTCAGATTGGATTAAGCATGGCTTGTTTGCATGTGCTTTAAATGAAACAGCAGCTCACTTACATGTCATTTACTTGGCAGCTGGGGAAGAGCTCTGAGCTGAACATGAGACTGAGAGAAGCGGTGCCATCGGTGGGGAACCTGAGGACTAAAGTGGGGCTGATCTCCATCTGGTGAGGTGGCCTGGCCCTGAGGTCCTCAAAACTGTCCTCCACAGACTCAGGTGGCTCTGCTCCCCCTCCCCATGTTAGCTCTTGGTTCCTTCCCAAGTTACAATGGAGAAACTGAGGCAGTCAGGCCAAGTCTCAGGTGAACCCTGGAAGGGGTTGCAGTTCATGTCACAGTAGGAAACTGAGGCAGTTGGGGCTGAGTTCGGGCTGGAACCAATGTCTCCAGTGGTCTGCACTCCATGGCTGGCTGATGTAGCCTGGGTTGGGTTTGGGGAACCATCTCCAGAGGGATATTTGTATTTTCTGTGCCTTGCTGACCTCAGTGGTGGGGTCCCTGGGCTCCTGCACTTCTGCCTAGTCTTGGTCAGTGGGAGGCTCTAACTGGCAGGAGGAGAGAGAGAGGTTGGTGTATTTGTCCACCATCTCCCTCCTCAGTGCCCAGTTCTGTCCACAGCTCTGGAATTTCTGCTGCTTTTGGAAAAAAAATCAAATGGCTCAACCAATGTTGGGGGCCCACAGGTGACTGAGGGTGGAGCCAACTGTGGGCTCATTTGTTGGTCAAGGCATCCAGGTGGATAGAGGGCAGGTGCAGGCCCTGAGGTGGGACTGTCTTAGTGGTTCAAGAAGTAACAAGCCAGCTGATGCGGTGGGAGTGGAGGAGTGAGGGCTGAGGGGTGGAGGTGAAGGCAGAGGGACAAGAGAGACTTGTGTGACAGTGAGAGCTTGGCTTTTATTCTTAAGGCTACAGGACTCTACCATGGATTCTGAGCACTCCCAGAAAGCTGAGCTTGGGTTAGAACTAAGAAGAAGCCCTTGACCTTGACCTTTGATTAAATTCTGAGTCAGTCTTGGTTTCATGTCTCAGCTCTGCTGATGAGTTACTGAGGGACCTGCACGTGTTATTTCCACCTTCCGAGCCTCAGTTTCCCCATCTGTAACCACAGCGCCCCCCTCAGTGAGATGCTGTGATAATGAAATATGATGCACATAGGGAGTGTGCATGTGGGCCGTGTGATCACTCTCACGTGAGGGTCTGCAGTGACGAGCTTCTTGTATTCCTGACATTGGTGATTTGTGTCCTTCCACTTGTCCCCTTGATCAGTCTGGCTAGAGGTTTAGTTGATTCTTTTAAAGAAACAGCTGTTTTTTTTTTGGGGGGGGGGCTGTTAATTCTTTCTACAGCTTCCTATTTCATGCATTTCTGCTGTTACATTTTTTATCCCCTTCCTGCCACTTACTCTTTTTTTAACATTTTTTAAAATTGATTTTTTTTTTTTAGAGTAAGGGAGAGCGAGCAAGAGAGAGAAGCCTTGATGTGAGAAAGAAACATTAATCGATTGTCCCTTGCATTTGCCCCAACCGGGGATCGAACCTGCAACCTGAACATGTGCCCTGACCGGGAATTGAACCTGCCACCCTTTGGTGTATGGGCGACGCTCCAGCCAACTGAGCCACACTGGCCAGGACCTTTTTCTAACTTTTTAAGGTGGAACCTTTGGTCATTGATTTTTAAGATCTTTCTTTTTTTCTAATACAAGCCTTTAAGACTTGTTTTATAATCTTTTACATAGACTCTAACATTTTGATTAAAAAGTTAAAAAATTACAGAATGTATTAAAATTACATTGCAGAGTGAACTGTATGGTATGTGAATTAGAACTCAATAAAGCTGTTAAAAAATTACAGTGCAAAAATTACAGCCCGACAATACAGCTGCAAACAAGGGTGCCATGGAAGAGACAGGATTGAATTCTGTTCAGCGAAGTTTTCCTGAGCCCCGTTTTGCAGCCTGACACAGGGATGTTACTCTAGATTAACTCTAGATTGGGCTGGAGTAAATCCCTGTTGGCTTCTGGGAGGCAGTGGCTGTTCTGGAGGACCGCACTGACTCCTCACCATCTTCGCTCCTGCCCCAGAGCCTTTGCACAGCCATTTCCATATCTTCTTCTCTTACCTTCTCAATGCAGTGACCTCTCATCCTGCCCTAACTAGCACTCAGCGGCCCTCTTGGACTCCTGGCCCTGCTCTGTGTTTTACAACACATTTAACACCTTGTAATATCCTATGCTCATCTATTACTTTATTATTTATTTTCTCTTTCTCCTCCCAAGAACATTACCTCCCTTACTGTCTGTCCTGTTGTGTCCCCACTAACCCAAACAGAACCTAGTACATTAAGTGCTTATT